AATACTCGGGGTATTCCGATAGACCCAACATGTTCGGTATGTGGTAATGAGGCAGAGAGTATATGTCATGTTCTTTTTACATGTACGAAAGCACGTGCCACATGGGAGCAAGCTAAATACCCAATACCTTTAGGTGGTTTCTCTCGGAATTCAACATTTTTAAATTTTGTGCACCTCATCAAAATTGCCAAGAAGTCAGCCACGGATATACATACAAGAAATGTTTTCCCATGGTTGTTATGGAAAATTTGGAAAGCTAGGAATGCCTTTGTTTTTGAAAACAAAGATATTGAGGATTCATTTATTGCTAAGAAAGCCTATGAAGAAGAATCCACATGGTTTGATACATTTACAGGAACAAAGGATAGTGTTAATGATGTTCCTCCTGCAATGATTCGATGGAAAAAACCACCCAATGGTTTCCTCAAATGTAATGTTGGTTCTTCATGGTTAAACTCTAATCGTCTTAGTGGTGCTTCATGGATTCTACGAGATGAATATGGATGTACAATCATGCATAGCCGTCGTGCTTATTCTTACATGCGCACATGGATCACCGTCACCAGTCATACATCGCTAGAAATGCTCCCGCATGGCTACATCACCTACTCACTTTAGAGGCTCAGCAATAAGGGGATGAGTGAGGTTCTTCTCATTTTTATTTGATGTCTAATGACATCTTCTCCTTTATCTTTTATTCACCATTTTGTATTGTTTCGAATATTACATCGTACCAGTGTTATAAAAAAAAAATCATCATTGTTGATCTCAAATTCAGAATATTGTCTAAATTAGCATTTTCTTAGTATTTATTGTTCATCTTTATCTTAACACATTTATCTTTGGTTGTAAAAAGATAAATAGATACTTATAACCCTAGAGCCTTATTCGAAAACTTGCTAGGCGCTATGCGTGCAGCTGACTAGGGTCTAGTGAATTATCGGAAAATCAAAAATAAATCAAGGAGTACTCAGGGATTTTTAATGAAGTTTTAATTTACAATAATCTATATATATATATATAACATTTGTAGGCCTAAAAGTGGCATATTTATAGTTTATTTATTTATTTTGTTTTGTGAATTAATAAAAAAAACACACATGTCATCATTTTTTCCCTCTGTAATCGATTTTGCAACCAATTTTTTGCATCTATGATTCTCACTTCATTCTTTTTTTTTTGTTATTACTTGCTTTTCTTGATTTGTATACTATAATTACATAATATCTACAGATATAAACATGTTTCAGAGTATTTTTAGCTTCACGAAAACGATATTACGCGGCAGCGTAGCCCAATACCATGTTCACGGTGGTCAAAACACGGGTTGCTGTAGAATCATCCGAACTGGCCTAACTTGCTACGGTGACTATCCAATTCACGATTTTGCGGAAGATTACTCGGCAACTCGCCGCTTTTTAGAACAAAGCCCTAGAGTTAACTAATTCAGACTTATGATTTAGATTTAAAGGGCATAGTTTTGGAAAAAGTAAGGTTTAGAATTTTAATAAAAATATAGACAAATATTTAGAATAAAATACAAAAATTTAAAATAGTTTCAAAAAGTATTATAGAATTTGAAAAAAAATATCTGAATAATATATTTTTTTAAAAATTCTAAAAATCAAAAATAAAATAGAAATTTTGATTTAAAAAGTTATAATTTGAAAACTTAAAACAAATTATATATTTTTATTATTTAAATAGTTATTTATATTTATAAATAAAGGGTATAAATATTTTTTGCCTCCATAAAGTTTTCATAATTAGGTATTTTTGAAAATGTCTATTTTAAGAAGATAAACATAAATAATGGTACAAAATGAAAAGTAAAAGTGAAATTCTCCCATCCCAAATAAGAAAACACAAATTAAATACTATTATTTTATAAATCATCAATAACACAAACACACAAAACATAACCATTTGATAAAATTTGATTATGAAACGAATGAAACACAAACACACAAAACACAAATACTGTTAAATTTAATAATTTAGATATATGAACTATTGAAGAAAATGTATGAAACTGCTATTGCGCTACCGAAATATTGGGTAATGAAATACATCAAAACTACTGCGTTCTAATCATTGACAAAAATTGGTATTTATTGAGAAAAATTCAGAGATAAGTACTAAAAGTTTTAATAACTTAAATACTTTGTTGTTAAGATATGCCCAAATCTTTTTTTTCGTTTTTTTGGAGAAAATGTATATAAAAAATAGGCCAAATAAGGAGAGGAAATCTTTAAATATATAGAATAATAGGCTAAATAAGGAGAGGAAATATATAAATTGTTTCATATTCTTACAAAAATAATATTATTAATAAAAACACATTTACCACTTACATTCAATAAAAAGAGCCATATTTAACCCCAAAAACGTCTAATAAGCCGCCTAAACTGGCTATTAGGCAGCTGGTCTTTGTTCAATATTTTCGTTTATTATTTTAAAACGCCCCCAAAATAAAATATTATGTACTTTCTTGGAATTGGGTTGATTTATAAATTACTCGTCTACAGACATATTTTAACCACTATATATATAAAACATTTCGACGAGTTTACATCATAAGCAAACATTCCCTCACGAAAAACCTAAAATCATATACAAAACCCTTAAAAAATCCTAGAGATGTTCAGGGTTGCTAGAGCTTCACAGTACCTAGCGATCACTGGTGCAGGGATCGAAGACATCAAGCTCTCCAAGAAATCATGGGTGTTTCCATGGCAATCTTGCACCGTCTTCGACGTTTCTCCGGTCAACTACACTTTCAAAGTCCAGGCCATGAGCGCCGAGAAGCTCCCTTTCGTTCTCCCTGCTGTCTTCACCATCGGACCTCGCGTGGACGACCCTGAAGCGCTGATTCTCTACGCTAGGCTTATTTCTCCTCACGACAAAGAATCCAACCACGTCCATGAGCTTGTTGAAGGTGTTATCGAAGGAGAGACTCGTGTCCTTGCTGCTTCCATGACCATGGAAGAGATCTTCAAAGGTATAACCCCACACGCCATTTACAAATCTATAACGTGTCTCCCAAAAATACGAAGTTTCTAGGAGATTTGAGTGTGTTGAATTCGTCAACTTTGGGTGAAGAGTATTTTTGTTCCCGGTTTGGTTAGACATAGCCGGATAAAACATTCGTCTTGATCCTTAAATTTTAAAGAGCTATTGTACATAGGTTGGGTGGTTCAAAAATGTCAAAAGATATTACAATTAAATTAAAAAATATTTATAACCCCCTAAATTTCATATTCGACCATATTTGATTCAGTTTGTTTTTTTATACAAAACAGTTTCAACTGTAATATAAGAAGTTTATTAGCTTATGTTCGTGTTTAGAGCTCTATGTTCTCATCTTCAAACACTTTGTGCATGTTTGGTAGACACTGTCTGAACAATCTGAGTAAAAAGTTTGTTTATTTTATTTTTATGTTTAGAGCTCTGTGTTCTCATCATTAAACACTTTGTGCATGTTTGTTAGATACATTTTATGAACTAAATGGTTAGCAGAGTTTTATTTAATTTATTTTTATGGATTTAAAGGGACAAAGGATTTCAAGAAGGAGGTGTTTGATAAGGTTCAACTAGAACTAAACCAGTTCGGTCTCATTATCTACAACGCTAACGTGAAGCAGCTCGTTGACGTGCCTGGACATGAATACTTCTCTTACTTGGGTCAAAAGACCCAAATGGAAGCAGCAAATCAAGCGAGGATCGATGTTTCCGAGGCCAAGATGAAAGGAGAGATAGGTGCAAAGGAACGTAACGGGCTTACTATTCAGAACGCATCTAAAATTGACGCGGAGTCAAAGATCATAATGATGCAAAGGCAAGGAGAAGGGACAAAGGAAGAGATCAAAGTCAAGACTGAGATTAAAGTGTTTGAGAATCAGAAGGAAGCTGATGTGGCTAAGGCCAATGCTGAGCTTGCAATGAAGAAAGCTGCTTGGACTAAAGATGCTCAGGTTGCTGAGGTTGAAGCAACTAAAGCTGTGGCTTTGAGAGAAGCTGAGCTTCAGACTCAGGTCGAGAAAATGAATGCGTTGACTCGGACCGAGAAGCTTAAGGCTGAGTTCCTTAGCAAAGCTAGTGTTGAGTATGAAACAAAGGTATGTATAGGTATCCTATTATTATTATTTGTCAACAATCTATTTACTTAAACCAAGTTCTTGTCAGTAAAAATAATATTTTAAGAATATTTTTAAGAATATTTTTTAGTCCTAACTCGTTTGCTATTAAATCCGCACATACATTTTTTATTTTATTTTTATTTAGATGTATTTCAGTCTGATGTTATTGATGTTTACTATTCAAGGTTCAAGAAGCAAACTGGGAACTATACAACAAGCAGAAGCAAGCAGAGGCGGTTCTATACGAGAAGCAAAAGGAAGCTGAGGCACAGAGAGCTGCAGCAGATGCAGCATTCTACACAAAGCAGAAAGAAGCAGAAGGACTTGTTGCTTTAGCAAGTGCACAAGGGACTTATCTCAGAACCCTCCTAGACGCTCTTCACAATGACTATTCTGCACTTAGAGACTTCTTGATGGTTAACAATGGCTCTTATTTGGAGATAGCTAGGATTAACGCGATTGCGGTTAAAGACTTGCAGCCCAAGATTAGCGTTTGGAACCACGGTGGAGAACAGGGGATTGGTGGTGGTGGTGGTAGTGGGAATGCTATGAAGGATATAGCTGGACTTTACAAGATGTTGCCTCCGGTTCTTGATACGGTTTATGAGCAGACTGGGATGCAGCCACCGGCTTGGATTGGTACTCTACGTGGTGCAGAGTCTTGAGCAAGAAATGTCCTTCTTCTGAGGTTTGAGGTTTGGATAATGGCATGGTTTGATCGTTACTTGTCGCTCAAGATACAAAATAAACTTGCCATATGTCAAGAATCTGTTGAAGTGTTGTATTTTCTTTCATTTATTTTCATAATGTATGCTAAAATAAAAATAAAAATAAAAAGGAGTCACATAACAAACATAAGAGGGAAAACTATATATGATTTGTAAAACAAAAACCACAAAACAAGTGAGTGGTTTAATTTATTGCTCACCGTCCTTCCATTGTTGTCTGAGTCACGTCGTTTATCGAGAACGCATAGTGAGACATTAACCGCTGATCATAGTTCAACGCATTTGTGAAGGTTGGCTGTTTTGGATCCTGGAGATGATGGTCACTGTTGAACATATAACCGATTTGTGAAATTGTGGGTCTGTCCTTAGGATGATCTTGAACACAAAGAAGTGCAACGTGAATGTATCGCATTGCTTCTTCTGAAGAATATGAATCACCTAATGCTTCATCTACAATGCTAGCACCTTTTGTGTCACACCAAGATTGCCATGCCTGAAATTGATTTAACAATATATACGTTGTGAACAGGTCGTCTAATAGCATGTGTAAGTGAAGCGGTCGAACATGCTCCCAAATATAAAAATAAAAATAAGGAAAAAATAAGAAAAAATTAAGAATTTTTAAGAAATATATAGATAAATTATGATAATTTTTTTTAAAAAAATTGATATATTGATAGATTAGAACTTATAATTTTTAAAGAAACATCAAACATAGTTATTAACTTTTAATTTTTTTATTAAATCATAAATATATCCTTAATTTTTTCGAACATGATCTAAAATTTATTTGAGACGACTCTGGTTGTGGATATAACTCTTTTTAATAATAAATAAATATTAAATGAAATGTATAGAAACACTTACATAACTAATGAGACTGTTGTGATCGTTATGAACAAACTTGTTCGCCTTTTTGCCAGATATAATCTCTAATAACAGAACTCCAAAGCTATATATATCAGACTTTTCTGAAATTATCCCGCCCAACCCATATTCCGGTGACATATAGCCACTGAAATTAATTCGCGTGAAGAAAGTTACTAAATATTTGTTTAACAGGCATAAATTATTTTTAAAACTTTGTGTTATGTTTATAAAGCACTCCCTTTTAAAAGAAAAAACAATTTGTCTGGCTCTTTTTGGTGTTGTGATTAATAGACAAACTATTAGCCTATAACACAAACACAAATCTAGTTTCTAAACACTTACTATGTTCCAATGATCCTTTGGGTACTGTCATCAATCTGTTTGCAATCGAAAATCCTAGCAGTTCCAAAATCGGAGATTTTAGGATTCATCTCATCGTCAAGAAGAATGTTGCTTGACTTAAGATCTCGATGGATTATCTTGAGATGTGAGTCTTCATGCAGATATTGAAGTCCTCTTGTTGTCCCATTTATTATATTCATACGTTTCTCCCAATCCAATTCCCTACTCTTAATAGAATCTACATGAACCAAAACATAAAGAAATAATAATTTCTTGACTTATGGGTTATGCCTCTAGTAGAGGGTAATAATATGGTTAATGATTTCGCATTCATCCCTTACCAAAGAGGAAAGCATCAAGGCTCTTATTAGACATGTACTCGTATATAAGGAGTTTCTCGTCTTCTTCCACGCAATGTCCTAAAAGTCTCACTAGGTTCCTGTGTTGAAGCTTGTTGACCAAATCCACTTCGTTCTTGAACTCGTTCAGACCTTGGTTTGACCTTTTTGAAAGTCTTTTGATCGCCACATCCACTCCATTTGGTAGCTTTGCCTAACATTTTAAGATCACTTAACAACAAAAAAATATATTTTCTTTTGCAAATGGTCCTCAATGAACTTGACCGGCTACAACCATATGCAAGTCCGAATCTGAGATTTAAGAGACTAGTGTATAAAGTTCAAAGGTTAATTTTAATATATTTTTTTGACAATTTGAAAGCCACATGATTTATGCATAATAAGTTAAAAAAAAAACTCTTTAAATTTATGGATTCTTTTGTCATTAAATCACTATATGGGATTTTAGGTACTCAGCCTTATTACTTGGAAATAAAACATAATCAGATTGTTTTACTTGAATATTGGTTTAGTTACCTTATAGACTGGACCAAAACCACCTTCTCCTATCTTGTAATCCTCAGAGAAACCATTGGTTGCTCTTATTATTGTACGTAAACTTAGGTCACACATCTCTTCTCCATCACCATCCTCTGTTTCAGTAGTATCCGCTTCAGCTTCATTAAACAAACCAAATAAATGTACAAAATAAACAAACTCTTTATAGTGAAACAGCTTCTACAAATACCAATCACAAACCTTTTGTTGCTCTTATTCTGCGCCGAGATGAAAAGTAACAACAACATGAACCAACAAGAAATGCAGCAGCAGCTACTGATGTTAGTACACTGGCTAGTACAATGGTTACGATTTTGTAATGTTTTGCTGCTCCTGTGTTCTCTAGACGCATTTGTGCTTGAACATTCGTGTCCTCGTTTGACCATGACATATTTGAATAATCATAATAAAACCTTGCACAGATAAAATACGAATCCTGACTAGATTCTGACTCTATCAGCATGTTCTGAAGAGGAAAAAAACTCTCCTTGTCACGTTCGAAATGAGGAATGCATTCACAAGGGACTTGCGATGTTTTCCCATTACAGAACCTAAACGAACCACAATAACTATAAACCATACATCTTTGTTCGGATACATAGCACGGGCCACTCGACCAACATGATTTAGATCCATTTGAAACCATGATCATGAGAGTGTTTGTTGCTTTATGGTCAACCTTGAGAGAGTGGTGACCAGGGGATGGATCTTTGATGCTATTCCACGAGATGAGACATTGTGGAACATCAAAACTCTGCCACAACTTGGTAGATATTGAAGTAAGCTCATCTTCCATAACTATAAAATCATCTTGAAGAAGAAAATTGCATTTGAGATTTTTATGAAGATTTTTTAAAGTATTAAGTGGAATTTGAAGAAGTAACTAGACATACCTGGTTCCGGTGTAAAGAGGCCAAGTTCGTAGACATCACCACTAGAAACAATGGTCTGGTATCCTGAAAGAGATTGATTGGTGGAGATTCTATCAGAACAACCCTCCCAAAATTGGAGATAGAGGAACATCATCAAGAATCCGTGGAAGATTGAGAACACATTCTTGTTGCAGGTGTCCATGTTCATATGAACCACAAGTTCAGAGGATTGTGTACCAACATTTAGTAGTTACACAATTAAATAGCCTCCTTGTAACATGCAAGTCAACCAAGTCTTGCAAGTTGAAAAGTAAGAGCAAAAAACAAAATGGGACACTTCGAATGTTTGTTCACATTAACTGCCACTGGCGTCTATGTCGGATGCTCCATGTATTTTTTTTTGTAGTTCTGAAATGTTGTACTAACAATACAGCAAAACCTAGTAGAGACCAATACTGAATTAGATATGTAACAATGCCAGACAAAGACTTTTGTATGAGAAGCTATATATATCTTACAAAGGTAACAACAAGGTATTTTGAAGAGACATGGTTAACATACAGATAAGATATCTGTTCAATAAATACACCGTTCTCTCTAGTCTCTATTCTCCCCAGTTTGGAATGTTTGCCGTGGCTTCGTTCACCATCTTCACCAATGTTACCTGCCAAAATACATCAATGAAGAAAACTGAGCTATGTTTGTAATGATATGTAAAGTATTCTAAGAAAACGACATGTAAACATACCACACTCTGTGAAACACCAGGTGGAGGCATTGTGAGGTTCCTTGGTGGCGGTGTACTATCATACGATCTTTTGTCAAATCTCCATTCCCCAACCTTCCCATAGGTTAACTGACCCTGTAACAATAAACAACCGTGATTAAGTTAGAGACTACTGTCAATCTCAGTAATCAAGTTTGTATTTATTATTTGTGTTTTAAATGTCAAATCAGAACTCAAAATCTTTACCTTCATATCATAGTCACATCCATAAGTGTAGTGTATGATGTACTTGTCACCAACCTCTGTGTCCCATGGAGGCTGTTTCATTACCACAAACACAACCAATCCAAATTAATGCACCAAAAATAACATTTTATCCATGTAACAAGCAATAATACACAGACTTTATGAGGCCCAGGCCATAATTATTTCAATGTATTTATGTAATAAGCAACAGTGCATATACTTAATGGGGTCAAACCGTCCAAGCCATACTATTTTCACCCTTTGCCACATAGACACACTCTAGAATCTAGAATTTGCAATTTATTGGAATACTGCAGGTAGTTTTGATTTTTTTTATTTTACTAGTTCACAAATTTACTAACTGAATGCCATCTTGCATAAGCATGGTGACACACTTTTGGCACTTTTAATCATAACTGCAACATGCTTAATAATAACAATATACAAGTTTTACCAAATGCAAAACAAAGTGTGTCTCTAGCATTACCTGAATCATAAAATCTTTGTGTAAAATATTGCTAACACCATGTAGTGCAGATGACACAGCATATGCATACCTATACACAAAAGATAACAAAAGTTACCATCTGAACAACAGATTCAATATAAAATAACAATCTTTTATGAAAAAGATTTGTACATTTCAAGAACCCAACCAAAAGCCTTATCAGCTTCAGGATCCTTCTTCATAGCCAAAGAAACATTCATCCAAGTTGGAGCAATCTTTTTCAAAGCTTCCTACAAAAACATAACACCCTTTTGAAAAAAAAAACTGATCCCAAACTCTTCAGGACAAAAAAAGAAACAAACCTTTCCGACAATGACAGGAGAGTTCCCAATGGGATCAATATCAGTCACAGGCCCTCTCTCTTCCGGATAATACTTCCTCAACACCTTCTCATACTTCTTCGGCTCAATATAAAAAAAAGGAAACGCAGCTCCAAACCCATCTTTAGCTAAGTTCGGTATAGGTTTCACAATGATATGATCAGGCTCAGACATAAGAACATAACTGAAACACAAACACAAAACCAAAAAAAAAACATCACTCTTAGTTTAATTACACAAACACAAATGGTCAAAGTCAAAAGCTTTTTCTTTACTCTTCTTTAATATCAGCTTGTTGAAGCCATTGCACAAACGCCCATGGCCTGTTCAACACTACATAACCCTGTTCCGACAAAAACTCAAATCAATGTCCGAATTTAAAAAAAAAACTTTCAGACAAAACCCTCAAATTTTCAATGTCCGAATTAAAACTAAAAACATATAAAAATCAAAACTTTTTTGATCAACCTGATCCGTCCCAGGAGGTAAAGGCTGAGCAACGAAAGTAGGAATCTCATCCATAAACCGATCGGGTTTACCGTCATGCAAGATCCGGGTAAACCCGCCCATCTCGGATCCGGGTCCAGCGGAAGCTCGGGTCTTTTTGAACCAGTAGTACATGACTCTGCATTGCCACGTGTTGTAGACTGAATCAGAGGCTGTTACCGCCGTGTGGAAGAGCCTCCTCTCGCTTTTGCCGCCTCGGATTCTGGATCCGCCACGTGGCAATGCGATGACTGGGTCGATGATGGAGGATGAGAGGGAAGAGGAGGAGGAGGAAGAGGGGAAGTCTTGTTTGAGAGGGGCGTTGGAGGAGATGATGATGTTGTATGTGATGAGAGCGACGGAGAGGGTTATGAGGAGTGGGTAGAACAGAGTTGTTCCACCGCCGCAACCCATTTTTTTGAGATTTTGAGAGAGCTGAGTTTTTCAAAGTCTTCGTCTTTCTTCTTCTTCTTAGTTTTAGTAGTTGGTGATGATTTGATTGATGAAGAAGGAATCAAACAAGCTGGCTGACTGTTTTTTTTTTTTTTTTTTTTTGGGTTTATGGTTTAGGTCTGGTTTAACTTATGAATTGAATTATGGTTTAGTCGGTTTAGAATGGTTATTATCCTCGGTTTAATTAGTCGGTTTAGGTCTGGTTTAACTTATGAATTGAGTTATGGTTTAGGCGGTATAGAATGGTTATTACCTTCGGTTTAAATAGTCGGTTTAGAATGGTTATTATCCTCGGTTTAATTGGTCGGTTTAGTTCTGGTTTAATTATGAATTGGATTTTGGTTTATACGGTTTAGAATGGTTACCTTCGGTTTAATTAGTCGGTTTAGTTCTGGTTTAATTATGAATTGAATTTTGGTTTAGTCGGTTTAGAATGGTTATTACCCTCGGTTTAATTAGTCGGTTTAGTTCTGGTTTTTAGTTATGAATTGAATTCTGTTTTATATAAACTATCCAATTTAATCTATAAATACCTAAATAACTAATCTATTTTGTTTATGATTTTTAATTTAAAGAAGGTGGGGAGGAAGAACGAGCCATTATGAAGAAAAAAAAAGTGAAGCATTTTGTTTTGATAAAAGTTATGGTTTTTTTTTTTTTTGCTTAACTTACATTTTGTTTGAATAAGAGCTTGAAGGGTTTATAGTAAGAAGGAAGACAAGTTTTGGTTTATGATAATGAGAGCTAAGAATTGCAATTTGTCTTACATTTTGCCTTTAAATCTTTGAATTATATTGATTTTTATATTTTGAATTATATTGATTTTTCTGTTTAATGATAAAACCCCTAAACTAAAAATTTACCGGTAGCACTGGTAATTATGACTGGCGAGGGTTTAATTCACTAAATAAAGGTAGTTTGGAGGTTTTTTCATTAAATACTTAGTTTATGGGTTTTTATCCAAAACAAACTTAGTTGAGGGATTTTTATGTTAAAAATCCTAGTTAAATTAATCGACGCTAGTTAAAATCAACAGCTTTCAAACATACATAACTGTTGAAAAAATTCAATGCTCTCTTAAGAACAAACAAAATTCAGCATTCAGCATTTTTCCCAATCTGTGCCCATCATATTTAAAATTCCAAAATCTAATATTCCCTGTGTTTCAATTTAATCCATATTTTAGGGAAAAAAATTGTTTCAAGAAGATATATATTTTACATTATCAATGTATTGCTTAATGTTAAATTGTAAATTTCAAAGCATTTATTTAAATTTTATTGGTTAGAAGTTATAGGAATAGTAAACTACAAAAAATAATACATTGGTGATTAAAAAGTTATAGGTTTTCTTAATACATGTAAAGATTCTAAAACATTCATCTTATTGAAACAGAGAAAATAATATATAATTATATATCGAACGGTATATTCAAAATACAAATAAATATTAAAAATCGTAAAAGAAATACTGACACAAAAGTCTTTATAATTCAGTTATGTTAATCCAAAAATATATTTTAACAATATGATATATAGTTAACCAATTAAATCATAATGGAACAAACACCCCGTGCATCGGTAAGATCTAGTATCTTATTTAAAAAAAAAAACTAAATCATGACCCGCGCATTCACATAAGTGTTATTTTTGGATGTATTTTATATAATTTAGTTTTATATAGTTTCAAATTAATTGTCAAGCAGTGTATTCTATATATTGTCTTTTGTATTAAGTATCCATCAATGTATTATGTAGATGTAATTGTGGAGTGAGAACACTAACTTTATATGTTTGTTCGAAATGCAAAATTAAATTCACGAGTGATATAGCACATAATATTTTAAGAGGAAAACTTTTTACTAATAACTTAAGAAATATTTAATTAATTTTAAAGAATTTTGTGTTTAAAATATTTTTGCATTTAAATCAGTATTTTTAAATCCGACCCGCATCCGTGGTTTAGCTGATTAATCCAGTTATCCGGTAATTTGATTTAGATTTTTAAAAATATATGTATTTAAAAAATCATGAAAACCCGAGACTAACTGATTAAACTGATAGATAACCGATATGTAATATTTAAATCTGTAAAAATAAGTTCTATTTTTTCGGTTATCTTATAACTCATTTGAAAATTTTAAATTATTTAATTCATCTAAATTAAAAATAGTTTAAACGGGTTATCCGAAATCAAACCCGCAAAGAACCGAAATGAACCCGAACCAAAATTTATAAATATTTGAATAGAGATGAAAGTTTTAAGCTAAGAAAATTGAAACCTAATTAGATTCTAACCGAACTCAGATGACTCATGAATATGCACCTCTAATTTAAAGTTTGTCGTACAATGCATATGAACAATGAAAGTATAGATTTGGTTAATTTCAAGTTTGAATTTAATTATATATAAAAATAGCATTGATTAATAGTATTGATAGTATCTATAGAAGTATTAATAAA